TCCACCCATTTCTCACACCATTCAAGGCATACTTCCTAATCCTATTCATGGGCTTCTTCTTCCTCATAGTCCTCATGTTTTCAATCTTTCGTACAATCTATTATCTTTTCAAAAAAAAAAAAATGATAACTCTTTCTCCTTTTCTTTCAACACCTATGGTTAAACCATAAATGAATAGAAGACCAATCGAATTCTTCTCTAAGTTTCTAACCATATTAGCCTCTATCAAGTTTACCCTCATCAATTATCCTCACTATCACTGAATCCAATAGCTCCACACTTGATGTTTAGTATTGCAGACTCAGACATCTAATTGCTCAAACTCTCTCTATTATAACAAGCAAACCCAAATATATGTATTTCATCAAAACTTATCCTATGTATCTCTTGTCGCATAGCAAAGAGTCATAAACTACCCTTTATATACTATATCCAAAAATCATAGTGTAATTGCTTTAGAATTAATTCATTTTGATGTATGGGGCCATCCCCAATTGCTTCCAAAATAGGTTACAAATATTGTCTTGTAATGATAACTTCTCCTCATATTATTGGATATATCCCATGAAAATAAAATCCAAAAAATCACCTTAAAATTCATAAATATAAAAAATCAAGTAGAATGCAAGTTCAACCATCATATAAAAATATTTTGCTTAGATGATAAAGAGGAGTAAACCAATAATAAACTTAAAAACTTTCTTATTGAATAGTGCATCATTCATCAATTTCATTATCCCTACATCTCAAAGTAAAATGATGTGGTAGTATACAATCACTGACATCTATCTCCTCAAAAGCATATGCTCCTTATGCATGCTTACAACCCATCTTCCAACTTCTCTATAATTAAGCACACTACTTTTTATAGTATATTTGATCAATTTATTACCCTCAACAACTACCAATAACCTTATCCCCCGCTAACACTTTTATAACAACAATTCATAATACTCTCACCACAAAACTTTTCAATCCATATGCTATCCCTCGCCATAACCCTACTCACACAAAAATCAATTGCATTCGCCTTCCACCTTCTCTCTAAGGGATAAAAATGTTATAACCCTGATATGAACTGACATTTATCTCTCTTCATGTTCTCTTTGATGAAGAGACCATGAAGAGCAAACTCACACTAACTCCATCCTCAATTATCGGTCTCCAAGCACACTACCAAGCCAATACATATAGTTATACATATTTAATCTCAACTCCTTAACTCTAATCATGAATATCTCTCAAGAAGACCATCAACTTTTATAATCTCCTTTCATCGCTCTTGTTCTTTGATTCCTAACTCATCTTCACAAATCAACCAACATTCACAATCTCCACCATGAATTATGTTCACAAACATAAATGAACAAGCATGTTAGTGTTCAAGTTTATTCATGTATGATTTATGTAATAATCAGCTTTTAAAAGTTTTGTTTATATTTGATTAATTTAAAAATAAATGAACATAAACAAGCCATATATAAATGAGTTTCAAATCATTTATTAAGTGCACTAATTCACTTTTAATTAACCCTAAACTTTGAACACTTTAATTTATATCTATAAAGATAAAAGTTTGTTTTGTTGGGCACTAATAATTGCCTTCACATCTCATGCAAAATATCTTTCTCATTCTAAGAGATTAAAATATTTTTCAAATGCCAATGAAGTCAAACTTGCTAATTATCTATTAATTACAAGTTCATTAATGTGTGCTTTTATCACTAATAATCTTATCAACTAATACAACTCACCTTGGCCTATTGGTTGAGAGCTTAGGCTTTCAACTAAGAGGTCTTGGGTTCTGAGTCTTTGTGTATGCGTTGTGTGTGTGAGTTTGCCTTAAATGACCTAAATGTCCAAAAAAAAAAATTCTTATCAACTAACAATTATTTATAAGTAATTGTCATTTCCAATTGTTCTTAATTAGATACTTTGCCACTAATTTAATTTGCAAGCAATCTATCTGGTCAACAAATTATTTTATACTTTGATTGATTAGAGCCTAATTACACACAAATCACTTAATTATTATGGATGTAGGCTTTGTTTGGGACGGCTTTCTCATTACTTTCTTAAGCAGCTTTTTAGTATAAAAAATTTTAACCTATAATTTTTTGTAAAAAAAAAAAGTTTTAAAAAACAATAAAAAAACCGTCCCAAACAAAACCATAATCTTCTATTTATTTATGATAACTAATTCTATCTATAACTCATGCATTATGCTTACAATTAATGCAATATAAATGTCATAATCTCATTAAGTAAATAGAAAAAAAATTTATGTCATGATAGTCTAATTCAATTTTTATTAGAATGATCTTAAAATTTTGATATGAAAAATTATATATACGAGTTCAATTTCTTAAAATATTTTCAAAATAATGAAGATATTGATACTGAAATATATGACAAAATAATTAAATATTAAAATTTTATATATAATTAGCAAAAGATATCATAAAAATTTTGACACATGTCAAAATTTTAAATTTATTTTAATAAAAATTTGGTTAGAATATTCTTACTATTTTTTTTTTCAATTAAAAAATTATATGTTGCATGTTCTTCCTTACCTCAACAAATTATAATATAGAGCAAAATGTTGACATCATGATTTCATAATCATGGATGTCATTAATTTGTAAAATTGAGCAATAATTTAATATGAAATAAAAGAAATTATGTCATTCAAATGTCAAATCAAATGCTTTGTAATTGCTTCCTTAGTAATATAATTATTGCTAAGCATGCTTAATGTTCACAATAGCTCTAATTTGTTGTAATGATGATTATATAGAAAGTTTATGATTAATTATTAATTAAATGGAAGATTATCGTATCATTCTGAAATCTAGTTTTTTTAATATATATGGTTAACTAACCAAATGATTAGATATTGATTTCACAGCTAAAATAATGGCAGATGCATGCTTGAGTAGTTTGATAGTGCTGTGGAAAAAGCTTGTAATTCTCTAATAAAAGTTCATATTTGATGGAGAATTAGGATCTATTTGAAATGGCTATAGCATTTTGTAAAGTTGATTATAAAGCTCTCTTAGGAACAGTAATTTTTTTTATATGCTTATATTTATCCATGTATATGCATTGATCGATTTTATTTTTATTTATATATTTTATTTAATTAAATATAATTAAAATCATTATTAAAATGTGTATTTAAAGCATTATGGTATTGAAAAGATGGAGTGTATATGAAAATCACAATTGGTTTTTAATCTCATCAATTAATAAAAAATAAAAAATACATTTCATATGTATAAAAGGTGCTAATAAGCTTGCTATACAATGAAATTTATAACAAGATTCTTAAGCTTGCTAAATAATTTTCAGTTTTTATTTAAAACCAAAAATCTTAAGCCTAACATTAGCCAATAAATTTTTTTTAATAGGACACATAAATTAGTTTTATTAGTTTAAAAAATATAAATTAAATTTTTAGTACTAAAAATTAAAATAATGATAATATTAATATACATATATTATATATAAAGATATATTAAAATTTTAGAAAACATAAAATGAAAAATAAAAATAAAAATGATTTTAATTAGGGCTGATATGATTATTGATGATGATCATTTGAAATTTCATCTATTAAATTACAAATTTCATTCATTTCTAAAATCAATTAAGCTAGCATAGTGCTTAATTATTATAGCACTAAGAGCAAATTTCCTTAATTTTCCTTGATGATAATCAATCATTTTCTTAATTTTTAACAGCAATTAACCTATCCCTTTAAGCAATTAGAGGGTAAATTTACTCAAGTCCAAATAAAACATTTGTGTTCATAGCTTTAAATTAAGGTTTCTCTATCAAGATTAATTGGTCTCTTCTTTTTTGGGTGTTATTGCTGCATAGCCCGCTTATATTAGGTTCTTTTTGTAATCGTAGTTTAAGGATCTGCCGGCTCGTAGGACTTTTATTTTCTTATTGTATTGTAGCTCTTATGAGCACTAGAGAGCTGGTGGAGCCTTTTAAGGATATTGTAACCGTTGTTTTGAATGAACGCGTAGGCCCCATGAGAGGGTTTTAACCAAAAAAAAAAAAGTTTCGTTTGGGACAGCTTTCGTACTGCTTTATAAAGCAATTTTTTAATACAAAATTTTTTTGAAAAAGAAAATTTTGTACTAAAAAGTTATTGCTAAAGCGGTAAGAAAACTGTCCCAAATAAAATCAAACCAAGGCTTCATTTGGGACAACTTTCTTCCTGCTTCTTAAAGCGGCTTTAAAAAGAAGTAAGAAAGTCATCCCAAATGAAGCCTAAAATTGAACAATTAGCTTAGCTCCAGCTTGAAGAAACCAGTTGATTTGACATATCCATCCTTCCAACACAAAATACAAATGGAAACACAAATAAAATAATGAAAATAAAGCAAATAATTAAGCTTGCATGGACAAAAAATGAAATGACTTGAATAGAGAAAGAAACTTATTCAACATATTTAGTATGTAGAAAATTATGCAAATGTCTCTTCCAATGACTTCATCAATTCCACTAAACACCATCTTTTGTACACTTGTAATTATTACAGTTTATAACCACTTTGATGGCAACCTTTACATGAGTGGACTTATCAAGTCCTTCCATTTGAAGCATTGTAATCTTTTAATACAATAATGGAGCAAAGCTTTTCATCATCATGGATTCCCATAATGACTTTAGCTTCAATTACAAGAAATTATTTTTTTTTTTTGATAGGAACCCTAAATATAAAATAAGGAAATCCATGCATGGAAATTTATGTGTTGCCTTAAGAAAATATGATTTCCACATGATGAATGAAAAATGATTCCTAACATCATAATACAGAGAATGTTGACATGTGATGCAATTTTGTAGAAAAGTAAGGGAGCTTTATTAATGCAAGATTTCAAGTGGAATAACAATTCTTTTGAGGAATAGGAGAGAACCTTGAGGAAGCTAAAAGATATTTGAACAGTTTAATATATATATTTGATGATAAAATAAGAATAGAATTATGAAGGTAGGGGAAGAAGGCTCAATCATTCAACTTGGAAATCAAGCAAAGGAAAGGAAGAGACATCCTCTATCAAATCTTCTAAAGACCACTCTCCTACCTTCATTTTTTCATGACCTTCCTCCCACATCTCATGGCTCCCAACTAAATTGCTACCTTTAATAATATTCTTAGTATCATGATGAACATTAAGATTAATCATGTTGGAATTAATTTCATTGATATTCCTTGAATAATTTTGATATGCATAATCTAAGTTAGTTCCATTCTCTTCTTGACTTGCACTCTCTAGTGGAGGAACAAAGTAATGATCATAACCTTCTTCTACCATAAGACCTTCACCCATGGTTATTATACCATGAGCATCAGCATCATCATACATGCAATGATCATGTGCTAAGCTTGAAGATATGTTGTTGAGGAAGCAATCATTTGAAATTGTATCAGGGAATGGAACCAAGTTGTAGTTGGTGTTCATGGTAAAAGCTTGCATTGATGATGAAGATGATGATGATGAAGAATTCAAGCGCATGAACATGATGTCCTCCATGAGTAACTCCTTATTAGCATCAGATGGATCAGCTTGGTCATGAGTTGAGGAAGATAGTTTTGATGAGTTCTTTAATCTCTTTTTTATTGTAGAGTTCCAAAAATTCTTTATCTCATTATCTGTGCGACCTGGCAAACGGGCTGCAATTTGAGACCATCTGCATATATGTAATTTTAAATGTTAATTCAAATTAAATTTGAACCAATCATATAAATACAAAAAAAGTTGGTATTATAATGTGAATTAAGTGAGGCCTTTATTAAATAGTTAATAACTAATTAATCAATTTAAAAAATAATAATATCTTTTTTAGTTAAGCACTAAAGAATAAATTTGTTATAGGTGGAATTCGATCAATATATCTTGATGATAACTCTTAAGGTCTCTATTAAATAGTTGATACAAAAAGTTGACAATGCATTCTAATGCAAAAAAAAGTGATAGGCCTTTATTAAATAGTTAATACTAATTAATCCATTTAAAATTTGAATAATAACATCATTTTTACTTGAATACTGAAGAATAAATTTGTTATAGGCGGAATTCAATCTCATGTAGAAATATATTGAGAGTAAAAATGTCTTTTTTTTTTTTTTTTTTTAGTTGGTTGGTATAGCTTTCTAGTTAGCACTTTAGAAGACTCGTCACTGTCAAAAACCTAAGCAATATAATGAATATGTGTGCATAGAAATATAGGATAATTATTCTCAAAATCACCTAAATTTGTATCTTTTGAGTTCTTTATTTTTTTTTTATTTTTCAATATTCTTTCTTAACAAAATATTATTAAAAGAACATCAATATGTGTGCACTTTTAATTTTATCTCATTGTAGAGAAATACTCTATACAAAATTGCTTACATCTACCTATCATTATGAGGAGAGATTATTCTGTGCGGACGTTGAACGTGGTTCACAATCTGGAGAACAAAACCAGAATGCGCCATACACATTAGGGATACCGAGCAGGAGGTGACTTGGCACATTATGGTTGGTCTTTAAATGACGTTCGGCGTCCGCACAGAATAATTTCACCATTGTGAGAGAGTAAAAAAGTTCAAATATAACAAAATCTTAAAATGACAAACTATTTTGAAACTAAAAAAATGTCTTCCATTGACCCTAAACTAATTTTTTAGAACAACCAATAACCCATTCAACGTGAGTATTATCCTTCAAGACCTTCAACACTCACATTTTATAAAGAGAGAGAGAGAGAGATATACCTATTGCCAAGAATGGAATGCAAGTGAATGATGAGCTCCTCCTCCTCGATTGAAAAGGCACCGCGCTTGAGATCGGGGCGGAGATAGTTTATCCATCGAAGGCGGCAACTCTTTCCGCATCTTTGAAGGCCGGCATTTCTCGCGACGTCGGTCCAACAACCCTGACCATTGGTCATCATATAGGTCATGAGCTTGTCATCCTCCTCAGGAGACCATAACCCCTTCCTTAGCTTATTATGAACTGTCACTCCGTTCTTTGAAGAAGGAGTAGTACTATTTGCTGTGTCTGGCCTTCTCATCATATCATATGGTGATGATCGATCTAAGTATATTTCTTCCTCTTTCTAGTTATTGCATGTGGGATGGCTCAAGAACTTGCAAGTACATATAAAGAAAGGAAGCCATGGTGGAGTTTTTAGTGAAAAAGAGAAGGGTGGCTGGCTTGATTCATGGGGTATGGATAATGATGGTGATGGTGATGGCTTGGGGTTTGCTTAGAATATGGAGAAGAAAGAGAGAGAGAGAAGAGAGAGAGAGGATAGAAGAGAGAGAAAGGTGGGTATGTTTGTTGTTGTGTCTAGAAAACGGTATTGAGAGGACGATAGATGCATGAGTTTTCTAGAGAGAGAAAGCGGTGGGGCCCGAAATATAGGTTGGTCTTCTTGTCTTTGACTCCAGTTCTTGTCCTTTTCGATGTTTTTTCTTCACTCTCAAGGGAGTGGCCTGTGAAGAGAGAGAGAGAGAGGGGAAAGGGGGAAATGTGAGATGAAGGAAAAACTAGAAATGGCTTTTTTCACATTTTACTCAATTCAATATTTTTTGAATAATAATATTATTAAATAATATATCATGAAAATAACGACATAATTAGCTTAATATTATTAAATTATATGTATAATAAGTTGTTTTTATTTGTAAATTATTTTTATAAAGATGTATATTACAATAATAATAATATTTTATCGCACTACTTGAGGCTCGTTTAAAAATTGAAAGCTAACGTAAAATTTGTGGAATAATCATAACATAAAAAAGAATGAGATGTAATATTTATAATATAATAAAAAATCTAGTTACAAATAATATTTATATTTAAAAGATAAAATATAATATCTTAAAATAGAAAGAATTCTCTTATAACACCCAAAAAAATTATATCTCAAGTTTAGTTTGTGATGCTTTGATGGGTTTTTTTTTTTCTCAATTAATTATAGAGGGAAGGTAGAGGAGAGTAAACAGACAAAGACATTGTGAAATAATAAAGAAAAGTTAACGGAAAGAGATTGTTTTATATGCAAGTTAAGCTATTTGCTTACATCTTACATAAGCTTCTTCTCCCTCTCATCCACTTAAAGAATTTGTATTAAAAAGATCTATAATGTGTTTTAATCAGATGAATCCAACAAGATGATCAAGAGCGTCTAAGGTTTTATTTGGGACAATTTTCTAGGTGCTTTATAAAGCAACTTTCTAGTTTAAAATTTCCAAATTCAAAAAAAAAAAAAAACTAAAAAGCTGCTGTAATAATCCGTATTTTGACCGAGGTAAATAATTTTATATTTGATGTCAATATAACTCTAAACCGCTAATCATTTTCGCTATAGCATTGCTATTATAGCATTTAGTTGCAACTATATTTTTGCACTCAGAACATGATAGATATATGATGATTGTGTAGATCTTGATGATTGTATATGATTTTTAGAATTGAATAGATAATATTAGATAATTATGGTTGTTATTTATTAAAAGATTAAAAGAATAATTCTTATAAATTCGATTCTGAGAAATCACAACCAGGGGCGGATCCAGCTTCTTTTTTCAGGGTGGGCAAAAAAAAAATTTTGTGGGGGATGGGCAAAGATGCTTAGGATTGATTAAATGAGGGAAAATTTTTTTTTTGAGAGGGGACAAAATACCCAAAATACCCAAAATATTCCAAAATATCCCTCTAAAATTAAAAAAAAAAATTAGGTGGGCATTTGCCCCCCCTCAACTCAATGGGGATCCGCCCATGATCACAACTGATTCATAAAGCATTAAGAAAGTTGTAGGTCGTCACTGACAACCATTGTTGCCCAACATCAACGCCCCCAACATCACATCTTTTGCCGGCGGTTTTCAAACCGCTCATAATTAACAAGTGCTGCGAAAGACCCCGTTTTTTGGTAGTGACACCCAATATTTGTTGTTTAATGCTAACGCCTTCCATTGATCACCGCCGACACCCTAGCTTGCTAGTGCCATCAATCTAAAATTAGTTGATGACTACTGTTTAACATCAACCTTTCTCTTCACTCGTCTTCCCTCTTATAAAGAGAATGACCAAATATACCACTAGCTGTTGTCTGATATCTAATGTTCCTAATCAACTTAATCTTTTATTCCTATCTCATTATCAAATAGAATGTATCTAGTTGTTAAATACACACACACAAAAAACAATATTTCACAATATCCATGCATATCACGTGGATTTGATGGAAAGCAATTCTCTCCCTTAAATTAATATAAGTATTTTAATTTCACACTTCAGAAAATTAAAATAAAATCATAATTTAAAATAAAAAATTTATGCCCAACCAGCCAACCATTGGAGCTAGCCTGGCCTCAGATTAGAACAAAGATAGCTGCTTATTGATAAGTTAGTACAAATGCTCGATACAGCTTAGTTTGATATGTTGGTTGGGAGCTTAATTTAGCTGTCAATCAGTAGGTCTTAGGTTCAAAGGTTCCGTATGTGTTGTGCGTGTGAATTTACCTTTAATTAACTTAAAAGTCTCTAAGAAAAAAAGTATAAACGCCCACATAAAATCGTAAAAAAGTTACGCATAGAGATAAAATCGTAATATTTTATGCTTCTTTTTTTTCATAAATAATTAAAATTTTTATTCTGCATAAAAATATGTTCTTTTTTTTAAGAATTTGTAATTCGAATAGATTGCGATTCATGAGTCTATCTTTGTCATCAACAATCAATGAGTAGCTAATTATTACAACTCGACCCTATCAACATCTTATTTATCGAGTGTCAACATGTACCACAGTCATCATCACGCCATCAATCGATCCTCGACCTCTTTGGTTGCTCGAAATTCAAAGATATATTTGAAATTTAATGAAACTCATCAAGTCGATTTAATTTCAAACCAGCTGATGAGTCGAGCCAGGTTTAAGCCAACCGTGATCGACTAATTGGTCTCATTATAAGATTTGTACACATTACCAATAATCATATTGTACTAATCACATAAACTCTATATTTAAAAACAATTATCTTCCATTATGAAGATGCATGCATGCTAATCAAAAATGACATGCAATATGAAGGTCATAAAAAAATGTACTATCAGACTTTCCAGGAACTGAGGGAGGCATGCAGAACAGTACTGGAGAATCCATGATTGAATAAGCCATTGCTTAGATTTATTCTAACTTCTGTGTCTTTGAATTTACTCAAGCAGCATTCTATGAACTGGGAAATAGCTAGATAGTGACGGTTGCTTCAAAATCAAAGCATTTAAAACTATGATTGCTTCAACATCAAAGAATTTTTTTTTTAAGGGAAAAAATTAACGGTATTGATGATAACTTCAAATGCAGCTTTGAATTTGCTGCAAAAGTATATAGGCATATTTTTTGTTGTCATTTTTTTTTTTAAATTATCATTTTATATTTATTTAGATTTTGATATTATTATAGATTATTGAGGGGAGAATAATCATTTATAAAATTCATCCATCATTCTCTATTCATATAAATTTTGATATTATAAAACTAATTAAAAAAAATCAAAATAATCTATAAAGTCTCTTTAATGTGAAATTATTATGTACGAATACGGACACCGTTCATAGGTGAATCAGAACGCACCAGGTCACCCCTTTGTTGTGTATTACGGTTGCGTACCCACTGTGTACCGGGTGATGTAGTGCGTTCTGATTCGCCTCCGAACGGTCTCATGTCCACATAGATTAATTTCTATTCTTTAACACCAGTAAAACTAAGAGCATGCATGATTTTAAAAGCTTTTAAAATCATTTTAGATCATCAATTACATGCATTAATATTTTCTCAAGAGATGATTAATTCCAATTAAGAAGTCTTCCTCCATATATATATATAGCTCATAGCCATTTTATTTATCATTATTTTCTTGGTTTCTGAAATTTCTTCTCACTGCAGATTTCGCTTTGACTGTGCGCTTATAATTGCAAACTTTATATGAAAGCTTTGCACGTGGAAAATGATAAGGAAAATAGGCCAGAAGTATAGCTCATTAGTGAAAGTGACGATATGATCACCAGCAAAGAAAGAAGAAGAGTTGGTGAAGAAAATTAGTTGCGTTGTAAGAAAAGTCTGCTCTGATCATTAATACTGAATTTATTCATGAAAAAAATGAATTCTGAATGTTAAACAGCCTTCATTTTCATAGTTTTCGTTTGAGACACACTACTAATAAATTAGACTTTCACGGTACTTTTTAAGACCTACTGCAGCGATTTAAACACATATTAATTTATTTGCAGCGATTTAGGAACTCATTGGCGTGCGAAAAGCTCAAAATCTGGAGTGATTAAATAAATGAAGAAGGATAGGATGAAAATGAAGACGTGCAAAGGACCAGTAAACATGTTGAAACATGGACTGCGGCGTCGGCCTCTCCATCTCGCGAAAAGTTATTTTGTGCAAATGTCGAACGCTGTTCGGAGCCCAATGAAAATGCGGCAAGTCACCCCAAGCTCGGTATCGTGGCTCGGTAATACTAGGTATCAGATGACGTGGATGCACCTGATTCACCTCTGGATGGTAACCTGTGTATCCTATCCGCACAGAATAATTTATCCCATCTCGCTTTCCTCTCCCACCGCCTCTTTCTCCTCCTCAAAATCTGAAAACAACCCATCATCATGGTCATTTCAAGAAGGAGAATGGGTGGATTCGACATGAAATGGGTGGATAAGGCATCGGGAGTCGGGATAGTAGGATTGGGCATCAGGATTGATGGATTCGACATCAGGAAGGTAGGATTCGGCGTATGGGTGAGTTCGGCGTATAGCTGATCCGGCGTGGATGATTGTCAAATAGAGATCTACGAAGACGAAGTCGTGAATCAGCTAGGGCACGAAATGAGAAATGAGGAGATAGATAATATGGCGCTTGTCTCTTAGCCGGCTGTTAGCAAACCGTTGCTACAAAATATTAGGAAAACTTCAACTTGTTGATGGTGAATTTAGCAACGGTTAAAACCACTGTCTATATCTATCTATAGCAGTGATTTTAAAACCGCTGTTATAAACTACTGCGAAAATATTAACTTTTTGGTAGCAGTACAATTTTAGATTTTTTTTTAAATATACTAAAAAAAAGTTTTATAAATCAATAAGAAAACCATCCAAATGAAGTCATAGTTGCCTTTAACAGTTCAGCCATGATATCAATTTGTTTGTTTATGTATACTTGATTTTGACGCACGTATATGTATGTGTTTATTATTCTATGAGTTGTTTGAAACAACTGGAGGCATTTGGGGAAAATTTTTCCTCAGGACATCCCATCAATTTGAACTATGGATGGGAATTTTAGCTTTCAGGTCAATTTTTGGACTAGTTGTTTGATTTGAAGAAAAGTCTACTCTGTTTGGTTTGTCGTAATATTGTATTATAGTGTAAAATGAATGCAATGTATTTGAAACATTTGAAATTTTTTTAATGAGTGTAAAATAAATGTAGCTGGTCGTTTTTCTATTTGCTTTGAAGTAAAATGAAAGCATAGTGGTGGCCAATGACCAGCAATGACGACATAAGGCGACAATGGCGAGCAATCACCAATGGTGGTGAACGATGGCGGTCGGGGGTGACAGCAAGTGGCAAGGCCGGGTTAGCTTGCGATGTAGTTGGAATTCAATAAAAAAAAATAGGTAAGTTTTGAATACATAAAAATGAACTATACAATGAATTCAAAATTCGTCAAAAAATTGCTCTATATTTCTTTTTTATCAAACCGAACACAGTTTTTAAAATCGGTGTGTTTCAATTTGCAAGGCTATTGCCATCATCAGCTTGTAAACAAGTAATCACTCACCCCAGCAAAGCTCACAACTTACAAGCTCACCCCCCCTATGGGATCATATAGAAGGTGTGCTTATTCTTGATGGGTCTGTCCAAAGGATTTGTCCAGATAGGTTTATGCTCTGAGAGGAACTCACCATAAGTGAGCTCTCTCTCCCATAGTTCTTGTTCATAATCAAAGCCAATGTCTTTGATTAAGCTATAAAAAGCTCACAAGTTTAAAGCTTATGACCATGACTTCATTGACTAAACTCGCCCCTAGCTTAGTGTCACTTCCACCTAGGGGGCTCACCATTTATTACTTACTCACCACTCATTCCTAAGGACTCGCTAACAAATACTCATCCCATATAGCAGCCTTTGTTGGGGGTGTAAGTGAGTCGAGACAACTCATGAGTAGAGCTTATCGAGCTCATTTTCTAAATGAGCTCGAGCTCGTTTAGAAAATGAGATCGAGTTCGAGCTTGATGAGGCTCGGCTCGTGAGCTCGCGAGCCAACTCAAATAATTATTAATATTTTTTAAATAATTTTATTTTATTTATTAAATTTAATTTTTAAAAAAAAAAATTAACAATAAATTCTAAATATATTTATTAAATTTAAATATTTTGAAATCCTGGCTAAATTTTAAAAATTCCGCCAAGGATCGCAAGCCGGCTCGAGCTCGTTTACAATGAGACGAGCTTGAGCTCGAGTTTGAGCCGACTATATATCTGATGAGCCAAGTTCGATAAGGCCAACACTCGACTCGTTTACACCCCTAGTCCTTACAGACTCATCCAAAGTACTCACCTAGGATACTCGCTGTGGGAAGCCTCATCAGAGGCGAAGAGCCATGTGAGCACCACCTTGCTCAACCCAAATGTATGTATTTGGTTATAGTTGTGACATCATTTTTATTTTATTCCATGTGGAGCCTTCTATATAGTCCTCTTGACCTCATAAATAAGGGGTGAAAAGACATTTTGGACTCCATGTTGTTTAGATTATTCACATATATACTAGAGCTTCTTACTTACTCTCCATACCTATTTTCTAAAAAAAATCTCCAACTCTAACCTACTAAAACTTATTTGTAGTGTGAGTGCAGCCCACAAGTAAATTTGAATCCAACAGTTATGATCTTTGAGTATATTGAAACACTTCCTTAATGTTAAACTAGAGTCATGAGATGTGTTTGCAAATTATAAATAAGCTAGCACATCTCTACCATTACAAAAGGGCCTTATAACTCAAGCGCTATACTTCTTGATTTCTAATTTAGAGGTCTCAAGCATCAACTTTCATGGATGTGTAACTATGATGAATTTCAAATATTCATATGGATTTAAATTTAATATTTGCAATTGGCCTTGTGGCCCACTTTATATTTGCATTAATATGGATAAGGAACTTACCTTATATATGAGGGTCCCTCGCCTTCCTTAGGTGTTATATGCCTAAGGCTTTGGTTGGAACGGCATTGATACTACTTAAAGCAGTTTTTTAGTTAAAATTTTTCTACTAGAAAGCAGCTTTAAGAAGCAACAAGAAAGCTGTCCCAAACGAAGCCTAAGTCATGCGCATCACAGAGGCCGTGTGACCTTAGGGTAATGGTGGCCTCTGCTCATCACCCAATTGGCCAATCTGAGACAATCCTCATACTTCTCTTAGTGAGAGTTCATATATACATTTGGATTTGACAAAGTGCTCCAAACTTTACTCAATTTATTGGGAAAATATTGAAGATCAAAATTGTATATTTTGTATTGGAATATTTCTCAAGTTGAATGTGTTATGAACAAGCTCAGATGTTGGTAAATACAAATCTCAATTATCTAGTCTTCTCTCTTTTCTATCAAACATCTAAAATCATTTTTCAAAAATCCTATTGATTGCCTTAATCCACCCATTAGTCTAAGGGTGAAAAATCAATCAGAATTTTAATTTTATTCCAAGTAATCTTCACAGTCTTTAAAAAATATAAAATAAATCTAAATTTATGTCATAAAACTATATTGAAGAGAAAATTACATTGTATACTCACACATGCATGCCTTCACAAATATTTAGCAAGTGAGTCGCGGGTCATAATAGAGGAACTCGTCCTCAAGGGAGGCAATTGGCAGGAACTCACCTAGCGGTTCAAGAGGTGCTACTCGCCTATAACTTATAAGAGAACTGGTCACTCGATATAATCAACCAGCACTATATGCATGGGCCTGCCAAGGAGCTCGCCTATCTTACAAGAGGAATTAAGGTTTCTTCATCAAGCTAACCACTCAACACCTATCGCGTACCTAGATCGTTGTCTTAGCCACTCGCCCTCTCCTAAAGCAATCATCCTCATGTCAACTTACCTAGCTTGGTTACAAGAAATCACTTACTCACAAGACCCTCAATTCATCTTGTCGTGACCATCCAATTACTTGAGGCCTCTCCCCTCCCACAACAAACATCTCACTCGCCTCTCCTTCTCTAGCAATCTAAGACCATTCACACAAGTTGCCGGCAACACCAAAAAGCTCATTGGATGCAAGTCCCCTCATCTCAACACTCGCTCACATACTCGTCCAAGCCAACTAGCCAACTTGACACTACTGAGCTCGCCCAGAAACAACTCATCGGAGCTCTTATGATCTCGCTATCTTTCAACCTATTAAGAGCTAACACATATCAATGATAGTTTATGTAGCATTGTATTTGTATTATGTGTAACATTGTACTTTTATTTTTTTTTTATATAACTTTTTTTGGTAACTCTCAGAATCCTATAAATAGATAGTCATGAGAAACAATTTGGGACCTCTAATTCTGATATTTTTGACTGATTCTAGCAGATTTTGTGTTGAGATTTATAGTTTTTCTTGTTATAAGTTCCATTTCTTACTAGCTTTACTCTCCACTCTCCATTCTCACACAGATTCTGACTCACTAGCTCACTAACTTTCTAGTTAGAGATCAACTATAATCCATAGACACATTTGGATCCAACACATCTTAGATAATACAGTTGCACAAAATCTTAGAATATTCTTCTACATTTTAAAATAATTCACCTACAATTTGTTTTTGTCGGTGGAACAATAGAGATGTAAATGAGCCAAGATGACTGACATAAAGCGTGCTTCGGGTGGCCTCGTTAAGCAAAGTAGTTTTTTCTTTTTTTTTAAAGTTCCACTCATAAACATATCGAGCATAACATAAGTTATTGACGAACATAAAGGCTGCTCGAGAGTAATGTATAAATTACAAATTATACATATCGTCCTGTAAGTGTGTGTATATACTCATATAATATAAATGTATTAATATAATTAACACAATCTTCACATACATTCACATATATACATATAAAAACATATAAATGTACATGCACACGAGTGTGTAATCAAACTATTATCGAATAGAATACGATCAGATAAGGACTTACTCGTGTTTGACTCGCTAAATATACGAGCTTATGAAAACTAATGAAAATGAAGGTAATTATCAAGTCAAATATGATTGAACATAAACAATGAGTTTTTTTACAGATATGAAGAGAATAGAGCTTCTATCAGTTTCAATTAGTATAGAAGAAAACAAGTCAAATAGTGTGGTTAGCAAACGCCAAGACTGTTACCTCCACCTGCTTTGTTAGGCGGAAAAACGCTGTAGATCTGCAGATTGTTCATTTGTTTTCAAGCTTGCTTTAGAATGAGAATCAAGGTTTAATATCCTAATTGGCTTCCCAAGTTTAGATTTGTCTTTCATTCTGGCAATCTCCATAGCCTTTGAACAGACAGGGAAATGCACGTTATCCCAGGAGTCAAGGATAACACCTGAACCAAGGCATATATTGTCATGGTAGAAGGCAGTAAACTGACCAGCTGCTAAACCCTGGTCGTCTTCAGATAGGTGTACCACTGCAGTTTGCTCATTTCCATCTCCATTTGTTTCTAGTCTTAAGCTGCAGTCGTAGAAACTGGGGCCATGTCGAACCTGAAAATAGGACTATTGTTTATCATTATAGGTCTTGAGAAGGGGGAATTATTTTGTGCGGAGTCCGAACGTAGAGGATCGATCGGATGCTGTGTATGCACTACGTATGTGCTGCGTGTACACTGCGTATGTGCTGCATATACACTGCATATTTACTATGTATTTGTATATACGTAGGAATTTAGTGAGTATTTAGTGAGTATTATTGATTCGTTGCTTATTGGCTGCTTATTTGCTCATATCTACAAATACGCAGTAAATATGCAGTACATACACAGTGTATATGCAGTATATACACGGTGCATACGTAGCATCCGAACGATGCTCTACCTTTGGACTCCGCACATAATAATTTCTCCTTGAGAATAGCTCCTTTGGTCATGACATTAAGTAGTAACATAATATAATCATATCAAAAATATCGACATGACATATCTTATATCTGTAATGCAATACATATTTTTATGCATATATTTTGATGTGATTTTGATACTACAGTATTATATAACTATAACGATTTAGATATTAGATATGTAGATGCATAAGAATTTGTTGGTATGTAGGTAAATCCCCCAATTTTAAATGTCATATATATGGATAATGCAAGCATTGCAAATCAAAGCCCTGATAGTGTTTTCCAATTCACATGGCATGTCATACAGTTGAAATGAGAAAGTTGTTAACCTAAGGCTGGAAACATAGTTCTTCAAACATAATATAATAAATCGCATTACCCTTTTATTTGTGTAGGCAGTTAAATTTTAGTATTATCTAAGTTATACCTAAGGTGGCACTATAGAAACTGTTTCACGTGACAGACTACAAAAGCTTATTGGCTTGAAGCATCAAACATGTTATATATACCCAAAAAAAAATCAAAATTAATGTTTAACCATCTTGTTATACTTAATCATTCATTTAAATAGTGAACTAAACAAGATTAAGAAGTGTTATATGTGGAATTTGATTATGTGATCAATCTTATTATTCTGTTGTCTCGGACCTCAAAGCTTGTCATGACACTGAGGGGTGCAGGGGGTTTAACCTTGCTTGGGTTCGAGTGCTTTGCATGCAAAAAAAAAAATAAAAAATCCATACAAAGCCTCGACGTTGTGTACCCAAGCACCCCGGTGATGTGTTCTCGAGCACCCCAGTGCTGAACGACAGAGAGTAGAGCGTCTTATGCAGCGGTGAAAGACACATGCTTGAGCACCGCAACACCCCACACTAGCGCCACAGCATTGCAAGATGGACTAGATGGTTTTTTTTCTCGTTTTTCTGAAGGGTTGCGTCCCTTGGGGTTATTTTACTTGACATTCTCTTGTATTTGTGTATGTAGACATTGAGAGCGGTACATGTGAGAAGAGAAGCAAGGAGAGAGAGAAGAGGGACTTGTACTTATTTCTCCCAATTTTCATAGAGGATTTCTTGGTATAGTGTGGCTCTATGGTTTTTTCCCTATTTTGAGTTTTTCCACGTTAAATCCTGGTGTCATTTACTTTTCCACTACATTTACTTTCTTACTTGTTTCATCATTGTGGTGTTTACTCCTCCTCATCTTCCCCAACAAGAAGCTTCCTTATCATTCGACATGACATATCTGCATACTTAAAACATTGGTCAATAGTTATAGTTTCCAATTCAAATGTATGTCATACAGTACAAATGAGAAAATGCAACAGAAAATAAGATAAAGAGAATGAATCCTGAAGTCACTTGCTGCACATAAAACAACATAAAGAGAAATGCAAGACAAATATATGTTGGAAGATTATAAGATTAATGGTGGAGGAAGTTTTTACCTTACATCGGAGCCTATCTTGCATCTCAGGTGTCGAGCCGCTAAACCACTTCAGTGATCCTACACGGAATGTGCGCCGCCTTTTGTCCAATGAAAAATAGTTTCTTGAAATAAAAACAACATTGTTTTGCACATCCTTTTCAACAACATACCTGCATGCCATGTCATAAGGGATTAATATTGCAAAACATGCTATAATGATCGATTAAAGCATACGATATCATAATTTGATTCCCGTTTAAGCTTGGAAGATCAATTCATATATAAATTTAATCTTGATGTAAGCTTGGTGAACAATTAAAATAACACACAATGCTTCTTTTTTAACATCGAAGCTACTTCAGAATGGGGGTACATAAAATAAAAAAAAAAATAAAAAAATAAAAAAACTATTTAACTTAAGCAAACCAACAGCTTTTCACAACATTATAGATTAACCTAGAAATTATACCAAGGTCCTCCAGGAAGGCGGAGACCTTGGCGCTGTCCAATAGTATAAAACCAAAAGCCCCTATGATTTCCCAGGTAGTCTCCTGTCTCAGCTTCTAGCAATACGCCTTCCATCTCTCCAATATGCCTGGCAACAAATTCACTGAACTTAACCTGCAAAAATACATGAAAAAAAAAAAGCAAAGAGTTGAGATTTTTATCAGTTGTTTAAGAATAAGGATTCAATTGCAAAACCTCAAAGATGATAAACAATGTAACTTGGAGAAAATAGTAATGCAACACCCAAAAATGCCAGACTGCAACAACAACAATAACATCAAGCCTTTATCCCACTACGTAGGGTCGGTTATGGGAATCATTTTTCTCCATTGTGTCATGTTAAGAGTCAAATTTTCATTTAAATCTAAAAAAGAAATGTCATTTCTAATATTTTCTAACCAAGTCTTTTTAGATCTACCTCAACTTTTCTTAACATAAGTCAAATCTAATACATCTACTTTCTTAACCGGGTCATCAAAAGTCTGCCGTTTTATGTGACCAAACCATCTAAGGTGACTCTGTCTAATCTTATCTGCCACTCGAGCTACTCCAACATTTTCACGTATATGCTCATTTCGCACCATGTCTCTAAGAGTAAAGCCACTCATCCACCTGAGCATCCTCATCTCTGCAACACTTAACTTAGTATTATGCTCCTCTTTTAATAACCAACATTCTGCACCATCATATAAGTTTCCCATACATAATGAAAGTAGAATATGAAAATGCATAATTTTTCTCTCAAACATTTCAAGATTACCCAGAACATGCAGCGGTTATCATATTTAATTGTACTATATAAAGAATGAGCATTTTAAGTCAATTATACGCAAGTATTTTTCATTTTAAATAGAGCTAAACCTTGCTGGAGCACAATTCATTTCTAAGTTACAAAGATTTATGACTAGAGTTGCCAAACATACAAGGCCTAGAGCAATGATGTTTCTTGTAAGGGTAGCTGAAGCACTGAATACTAACGTTGGCGCAAAAATAGTAGAATAATGAAATCCAAATCAAGTGACGACAGTTCACTCAAATTGCTTAGTACATAGAAAAACTGTATTTTTTAACAATGTGCAACATCACAATGTTGATGTAAAAACAAATGACCATCATATTAGAGCCAAAATGGCAGTCATAGTAAGATTACATATATGTAAATTCTTTGAGAACACTTGATTCTAGAAGCATCATTTCATGAAAACATTTTACTGTGTGTGCAACAATTTGGTAAGGAAATTACTTTAACAAAATAATTATGATAGACAACAAGATTCCCTTGTATTTTCCCTGTAAAGGTGAAAAAATACGTGCATATTGAAACAAGATAAAACATTAAAGCTTACATGACACGATTTTAACTAGTAATCTTGTTGACTTTTAACTATGTCCAAGTAGGAATTGCTGCAGTTGTGGTTGATCATGGGAGTAGCAGCAAACAGGAGAGGCAAATCATGGTCAAAAAAATCAAAATTAGTCAACCAGGGTCAAGTCAAGATTATGACAAGATAAACACACCAAGTTATACGAGTCAACATGGATTCAAAATTCTTATTAAAAAAAAATTCTATAAAATTAATGCCAAAGAATTGAGATAAAAAAGGGTACATGGATAGAAGTCATACCAAAAATTTTGTGAAGAAGAGTTTTAAAATCATGACAGCACTCGGTGTTGTAGCGCAGCAAGACGGAATGGACTGTTTTATTTCTTGTTTTTCTGAAGGGTTACGTCCCTTGGGGTTATTTTATTTGGCTTTCTCTTGTATTTTGTGTATGTAGACATTGAGAATGATGCATGTGAGAAGAGAATGAGAGAGTGAGAGAGAAGAGAGATATGTACTTATTTCTCCCAATTTTCATAGTTGATTTCTTGGTATGATAGGCTCAGTGGTTTTTCTCATATTTTGGATTTTTCCACGTTAAATCCTGTTGACCTCAATTTTAGCTCGAGCGCCCTCGAGGGCCTTTAATTGACTTAATCGAGCCCCGTCGGGTCCAATTCGAACTCGAATCGACTCGAGTTGGGTCAAACTAGACTCGACAAAGTTCGAATAAATGTGATTAATTCACATTAGCCTCTTTGAGCACTATTTGATCTAAATCGGCATCGATCTGAGTTCGCTTATGCCAAATTAATTTAATTAAATCGAATCAAACTTGAATCGACTCGATTCAAATCAAATCAAGCCTAATTTGAACCCGAATTGACCCGAACCGAGTTGAATCAGATCTAATGAATTCAGATTTAGAAATCAAACTAACGACTGTGATTCCATCAAAATTCAAATACTAGCCGTTACTTCAATTTAATGGCGTAATCTCGTCATTAACGGGCGAGGAGGAGGAGAGACCGTTCTAGCCCCGGATGGTGCTTCCCCTCTCGGGGTTCTTCTCGGTTCGTCCCCCCCTCTCCGAGCTCTCTCTTACGCGAGCCAGGAGTACCCCGAGGCCCCCCCCTGCCTCCTACCCCTTCGACCGACTCGCCTCCGACTTGCCCTACCTGAACTCGAACTCCTCTCCCCGGCAGTGAATCTTCCATGTCCTGCTTTTCCTTATCTTGAGCGGGTGGAGCAAAAGCTTCTCACGTTTCTCTACCGTGGATTTTAGCAGGCCTAATCCTTTCCTCAAGATATGGTTTACATTATCCGTGTTACATATGGCTTATTATGAGAAGAATTTGAGGTTAGGACTGCTGTAGCATTGTGACTTCTCTGTTTGCTCTTAATTCTATCTCCTTTAATTTATTTATTACTAGTGGTTTATTGCATGGAAAATTCTGCACTCATTTGGAATGTTGGTTCTCTAACCTACAAAGGCTTGTTTCTAGAAAATTGAGTGGGATAGCCTCATGGAATGTGATTGAGCTTTATGACATGGTTTATGTTGTTTGAGATCCGAATCTTGGTGTATGAAATATGTATTCGTTGTTAGCTTATATCATGCAATGTGTTTAGAACCTCATGTGTAGGTGATAGAAAACTGTAGCAACTTCTACTAAGTGCACATGAGGTGTTTGTAAAAATGCCTATTGGAACAATACAAGTGTTTGATCAAAAAGAGATGTTAAGCAAGTGTGGTCCTGGAAGTAGAAACTTTATGTCGATTTGTTCTAAGCGATATTGTGAAGATTGCATAATGACCATTCGATGAAATGCTCTTAAAAGGAAGCCATGGTCACATTGCTCGCATTGAAACCTTAGATGATAATCTTGTTCATATGGAAATTGCGCTTTATTAATGGAGGATCATCAGATAACTATTTGTTATGATATCACTTTGCTTGATAAAAAAAGGTAAATAATATAAAAGTTCAGTTAACATGGTAAGTGGAGCGGTTCATTATCTTTTTTTCAAGAGTACTATGATGTTCTGAATTATACTATACTCTCTTACCACTTAGTTCTCCAAAGGAATTGTTTGGGCCCCTTCTCCACAAAAGAGCCACAGCAGGTTATGCCTCTATCTCTCCGAAAGAATACTGCTTTTGGGAAGCAGATAAGTGCAGATTTTTTTTTATTATTTGATTCGAGTCCCAAACTATTTTTGTGAGAGATGAGTGCAGATTTTGAGGGCTTTCTCATTGTTTTTATACAATAATACCTACGGGACTTGGGTGAATCTTTTATTGTTTTTCTATGGAAATTCCTACAGCTTTTATGAGGCTTTTTTAACTGTTTTTGTGAGAGATAAGTGCAGATTTTGAGGCTTCTCATTGTTTTTATACAATAATACCTACGGCACTTGGGTGAATCTTTTATTGCTTTTCTATGGAAATTCCTACAGCTTTTATGAGGCTTTTTTCACTGCGTTTGTGAGAAACGAGTGCAGATTTTGAGGGCTTTCTCACAGATTTTATACAAGAATCCCTATAGCATTTGGGCGGATCTTTCGTTGCTTCTTGGCAGAAATTCTTACGTCTTTTATATAATTTTTCTCGCTGATCTTGGAGAGATTAGATGCAGATTTTTTTCCTTGTTTTTATGCTCCAAACTGTTTTGGAGATGGACTAGAGATTTTTGGGGAACTTTTGTTCGCATTCATTGGAGCGCATTCCTTATGATTATTGAGATTTAATGCTTCAAGGAACTTTCATCGTTGCCACTATCTTCTGAAGTTGAATCTTGATTTTCTATGCTTTACTTCATTTGGGTATGAGCTTTAGCCTTATAATGTGAGACCGCGTTATTAACAAAAAAAAAAATCATTGTCACGAGCATATGAGTTATATTGCACTAGAAGGGTAGCCCAACATGAAAACTATTGTGGATTCTTTTGTTCTTTGAATTACACACTTGCAAATTCTCTTGAAAGAGTTGATGGCGTATAGTAGAAAGGTTGCAAATTCTTTGGAAAGTAATCATGCGCTTCATGTATTCAAAACAATTCATATTGTTAGAAGCATATTTAGCTATAAAAGTTCATGGATGGTAAAGTATCTATATGCTTCATTCTCTACTTGATTGAGTTTTGTATAAAAAGTGATATTAGTAATTGTATCTGATAGTTCTCATATATCTTTTGTTTCAAATATGAATTTCGTATGGAATCGATTTAATGTTGATTGGATAGTTGAAGTATTTTCTTGGAGCGTGGCAAGGGCCATTTGCATCAAACCTTTCTTTTATGGTTGCAACTTATTTGGGATTCATTGTCGAATGAATTGTTTACTTGTTCCTTCTCTATTTGCTTGGGTTTAGGCAAAGATACTATTGGTAAGTTTGTTGAATGGTTGAAGTGGCTTTCAAGTATTTTCTCATGAAGTAGAGTCATGTTATGTTAGTTTTATATTCGCCATAGTCAATTAATGCTATTTGAAATATTTTGGGAGGTTTTATGAGTTTCTTTATGATTGGAATTTTTTTTTAGGAAATGTTTTGTGTCAGAAGTTTTTATGAGTGCTTTAATTATTGAAAATTTTGTAAGTGGCTTGGAGTTATTTTGTGCGGCGAAGCTTTATGTTAAGACTCATGAATGTTCTATAACGGATACTTTGCGAATTGTTTTGCATTGAGAGGCTTTATCATAAGTTTTATGAATTGTCTTATGTTGAGATTTTGTGTTTTTGTCTTGTGAATGTTTCTTGATGGAGGGCTTCGTAATGCCTATTCATTGAGAAATTTCCACAAATCTACCC